CCTGGGAATGTCCAGGTAGACTAATATCAAACCATGTAAATTATACCTGTTTCTAGTCCTCTGTCAAGATCTCTCTGCTTTGCCGTGCCCTCCTCCTAGATAATGTGGCTCTTTCATACTTGCCAAAGAAAAAAAGAGAAAAGTTCTTATCAATCTTGTGTATTTGCTACTCTTAAACCCACAGAAAGTTTGTAGTCTTAAATGCCCAGAGACCCGTGGGCTCATGTGTTCTTTTCAGTCATTCAGACACCTGGGGATTGCACTCTGAACTTTGGGTGGAGTGGAATTAATAGGATTGATGGCATAAGCTAAAGCTAATTACTCTCAAGGAAAAACCTGCTGGCATATATGGGCGAGACCTTTGCCTGTACTTCAGTTTTGTATGTGCAAACCTTGCCTCTTCATTCTAACTCTTTATCTTCTACTGTGGACCACTCTTGATATTGTTTTTAGCTGATTACTTGCCAGTCCTGCAGGCTGCAGACCTCGGAGGAAGCTCTCTCTGCTGCACACATGAGCTTTGTCTCACAGAGAAGCCAGGGCTGTAACAACCATTCCTCCATCTGGAGTTTCTGGTGTGGGCTGGCAATGGGGTGAGTCCTGAGAGCCACAGATCCATCACTCTAAACTCTGCCCTTCAGCTCCTTCTCTCCTGCATCTCTTCAGCCCAGCAGGATGCTGAGATGAGTCAGCCTCTGTCTGTCCAATACAGAAGCATTAGGAAACAGTTTGTATTTAGTCAAGGCCACCCTTGTTTGAAACAAAGTGGAAGTGAAAGAACCTTTTGCATCCTTCAGCCCTGAGTCTTACTGAGCAAAGAAGTCTGTGCCCTTGCTGTGGCTGGATGGGCAGGGGCAGCAAGTGCACTGGCACAAATCCTTGGAAGCGGTAACAGATCTGGTTACGTGCAGTGACTTCAGGGGATTTTCCTCCTTTTGATTAATTGGGGTTTCATTTTCTTAAGATTTTTTTTGGCGTTGTTGGTATTTCCCTTTTTATGGCTCAGATGCAGCTGTTCCCTCTCTGAGCATATGTAAAAGAAGGCTTAATGTTCTACTTCTTGAATTAATCTTCTTCACTATACATCACACTTCTGTAACTGACGTGAGAGTTGTTACAGTTTCTGCTCTCTGGTGTAAACACATTACAGTTATTTCTTTTCCCATTCCTCCCACTTCCAGTTCTTTCCCGTCCCTGTGAGAGACACTGGGGAAAGCCAAGACATCACAAGTGCATTTAAACCATGTCTCTACTATATTTCTCCTTACACAGGGAGAGGATCCCTTTGAAACAGTTACAGAGATGGAGCTTTTGGTCTGCTTTCCCACAGGCTGGCCCTGCTGGAGCAATGTTTGCATGTGGTGCTCTTCTACCTTCTAACTCCCACCCCAACACCTCTCCCCCTCGGAGTTCTAGACCACAGCACATGTGATCCTTCTCCTATTATTGGAAGTGAATATATTACATCTAAATGGTTCTGTCTTCATGTGCATGAGATGATAACATTTTCCCACAGTACACCCAGTATAAAACTTTATGGTATTATTGACTTGAGCATATCTCAGCCAGACCTTGGTGTTAGTGATTTAATGACCATCTCTTCTTCTCCCACCCCTCCTTCTTCTGCTCTATTGATAATTCTCATTTTATTAGAACTGCTGGTGCTCTGAGCTTTTTATTGCATTAATACAAACTTGTTTCTATGAGCACGATACCATAAATTATCTGCTGCCCGTTGCCATGTTGAATGGCAAGGCAATAAATACAAGGAAATTCAAAGAAGTTAAACTCAGGTCTATTTGCCCTCTGTCTCTTGAGTCAACTTCTCTCCTTGAACAACTGTGCTAGACCATGGAAAATGAAACATAAATGTCCCCCAGCACGTTAGTACCTGTTAGTAGTTGGTGATGTAGCTCAGAAGGGAACACTTGTGTAGCTGCAGTGGTAGGAGGGTGTTACATGGAAGCACCATCTTGGGGAAGATAGTGAGGTTTGGCACTGACATTTTGTTAGGTTCCTCTGCAGACTGAAACCACTCTTGCTGCTATCTGAAGAGGTTTATTCCCATCCTCTCACCAGGAAGGAAGTTGCTGGCAGTGCAGGCTTGGCAAAGTTCTCACCATTGAAAACAATGAAACAGCAAGACAAAAACACCCTATAAATCCAGGCAGAAAAAAAAAAAAAGTGGGAAGAGAGTGTATCAAGTTAAATTCAATCAGTTCCCTGCAATAATCAAAGACCTTGCATGGTATCTGGTGTATGTATTGTCCAGCACTGCCCTGTGGGATGAATGTATAGGAAATAATGGATGCTCAGTTACTACTGGTCGTGTTCTTCTTGTAGTGTGTTATGGCTGGGGAACAAAGAGTTGCTCTGATGGGATTAGTATTGGCTGTGAACACAATGCATGGTCTCGTGGAATGCATTTTCTCCCTGTTTGTGAGTGAGGGTCACAGTCATCAATTCAGTACACTTCCTGTCATATACACTGGTATTAAGATAAATTAGTGCCTGTGTGTCTGTGAAGAGCTGGAGGTCAGGAATTACACCAACGGATTTGTTTTCTTCATTACATGAATATGCAAAATCCAACTGTACATGACTAACCCATCCTGCAACAGCCCTGACCACCCCCAAGCTCTCTAATGTCTCCTTGGTGCAGAGCAAATCAGAGCTGTTAAGAAGCAGGACACAAAAGTATGGTACAAGACAGTGAGGGGAGGAATGGAGGAGGAGCCATTGAAATAAAAATGCTTGGATTCATTCTAGGCCAGTCTTATACCAGCAGAATTCCATAGATTGCTCCTGATCCTCAGCAACTGGACTTGATATCTATTCCCTACAATGCCTTCTTCTCCTCTGGATCATTTAATAACAGAAATGATTAATGATTTTAAATAGCTTTAAAGGGAATGGTAGACAGTGGGATCTATCTCCCATTCAAAAATGAAAGTATAAGTAGTGTAGGTGGAAGAATTGTGCTACAATATATTCAGTAGTACAATATATTCTCTGTGAGTTTATATCTTCACAATAGCATTAATGTATTACCTTTTCATACATTGTGGGGTGGTATCTGGGCATGAAGGAGGTTGGAGGACACAGAAGAATGAGAAAGGTGAAGGAAATGTTCTTGAACAATCTAAAATTACCCTAATAACAGTGATTAATTAATTCAGTAAAGGAAGTAATAAATCCTTTTACAACTCCTAAAGCTTGACAGACATTGAATTCAACATGGCCACTTGTTAAATCAGATCTCAGGCCAGTTGTAGGATAAATGCTCCTGGTTAACTCCCAGGGCCTTACTGTTATGGGGCTCTGGAACTGTGTTTCTTGGTTTGTCTTTTAAGTATTTGAGCTCTGGTGATGCTCCCAAGGGTCTGAGTAGGCAGCCTGCAGGAATTCAAGTTACAAAAGAAGTGATACATGCTGCAGTTACGTTCCTGCTGGTGACCCTGGAATATGCACATAGCACCCAGTTCTCATACCTTTGCAGAAGAGTTTGTGCTGAGAACTTTTAGTCTGTGCAGTTTTTATGAGCTGTTTACTCAGGCTGCTTGGAGCTCACTTAGGTTACAAACATTTGCACCTCCACAGTGTGCTTGGCTGGCTGAAACTGTAATGATAAACAGGTTACAAACAGCAAATAATGAATAGCAAATACTCCTGCCTGCACAAAGATCCCATTGCTCCTGTGTGCTGCGGAGTCCCCACATTAGAGTCCCACCATTTATCCAAATGACAGACTGTTCATGGAAGCAGTCTCCTCTCTGCAGCACAGAGGAAGCTCTGTGTTTGCTAACACTGGGTTCCTTATGTAGAACTTTGTCATGCGGTTTCTTAAAGCAGAGAAATACTTCCCGGAAGCCTGTAATGCAACAAGTTGGTTTTCATTTCTTAATGTATGTTATGCTGTATGGGTCTGACCCTGGTGACACCAGAGCTCTAAACTGCAGCTGTGAGTGTCCTACTCAACATCTGTGTGCGTGCCAGGTTTTATGGGATGTTTCTTGGCTCTGGAAAGATGTCTTAAATCTTACAATGGAACTTTCTGTGTGTTTTAGATTGTCTCCTGTCCCTGACAGTCTCACTTCTGTCTGCTGCTTCACTCCATAACAATGGCCAGCATAATAGAAGTGCCACTTGTCCAGAGATGTTCTTCCCAGAAGAAAGTGATTTGTTTGAGTGACTGGCTGTAATTCTAATGTGGCATGTAAGTGCTTAATGTAGAAGCATGCATAACGACTGCAGAAATACTTCCACACATCCATGAGTTTCTTTTCCAGGAGTTTTTACGAAATGCCCATCCATGGCAGAAACCCAAACTGTCAGGAGCGAACACTTAAGGAAGGGCAATCGTGTGAGTTGTGTGGGTTTTGTGACTGTATGGAGCTAACATGGATTGAAGCATAATGCAAGCTGATCTGAGTTACTGAACTGCCACCCCTGTGCTCTGCATGCTCACAGCCACTGTCTCCTTGGATAAGGCTATTACAGGAAAAAGAGTAGAAATTCCAAAAGTTGCTGGGAATAATAATTTAGAGACAGTGGAAGGAAATGAGTGAGCTTTAGGAGGTCCTCTGAATCATTATCTAATGTCACTGGCTTCCTCCCCTAACATGCTTGGTTCCCTGTAATAGGGTGGGTGCAGTGAGGAGATTTGCTCCAAGACAATCAAGGGAAAACAACTTCCACTCTAGTGAGTATTTAAGCTCAGCTAGAATAAGATAATGTCAGAAATATCAGAGTAGAAAAAAATGAACTGTAGAGTAAAATGGGCAGTGTATTAAGCAGGCTGCAGCAGGAGAGAGGACCAGGCCAGTAATTACCTACCAGTGGTGTTCTGACTAATTCTTTTACTGGGACACACACCACATTTTAACCCTTTTCTTAACATTTAGTTCTGTGGAGGCATTGAGGAGTCCTAAAGCATTAAAACTGATTTTTAGAATGCCCTCCTGTAAACCACGTGTAAACATCAGTGAAGGAGGTCTCACCCTTTCTAGCTACGTTGACTGTAGCCATCCTTTGTTGGGATATGAAGCAGCCATGCAGGCTCTGGGCAAGACCAGGCTCAGGATGATCATTGGCATGGACCTTCTACACACATGGATCTGCTCCAGTTTTCCCAAGCCAGGCTCTGTGTACAAGAATGTGAACTTATGGTCAGGCACGATGTAAACTTGATGTCTTCCCATCCAGAAAGATGTGTTGACTGGGTAGAGATCTAATGATTTGAAGCAGGAATGAGAAGCACACCTGGTCTTGAGCTCAGGCTCAGAGCCACAGTTAACTGTCTATCTATACTTAGTCTGCATCTGCTTCTTAACAGGCAGGCAAAACAGTCTGAGAGGAGGTGGAAGAAATAGCACTGTAACACTCAGTGTTTGCATGGTAAGCAAAGTTGTCACAGCTTTAAACGAGTTCCCCTTTACCAACCCTCATGATTTTGGAGGCATACGTATTTTTACACACCGTTTCTGACCCTAGCTTCTGTGATTCACAATATTACTTGTTTGAAAAAGCATGGTGCAGCTTGTTTAAATTTGGGCTGTGACAGGTTTATAGATGACTAGAATGTAGATTTTCTTTCTTCAGCAGGGAAGGCTTGGTCAGATTTGTCTGTATCAGCAGCATCCATGCTCTATACAAAAATGCAGATGCCTAAATAAAAGAGATGAGCATGATTTACGTGCAGATGACTGTGAGGGAATAGAATTCCCTCTGATCTCCTGCACCATCATCTGGAATCTCCCTTGGTTTAGGACAGGCTTTTTAAAATATTAATGTCTTGAATAATGCATCACTGTACATGTAAATGAGCTATTGGTATAACAATTCTGAATAACTGGGTTAGGCACATTTCAATGATTATTTGGCCATTAACTTCAGTAAACAGAAGAATGTGAAAAGAAAAAAGATATATAATTTCTCTATTATTTAGCTTTGTTTTAAATGAAACCCTTGGAAAGATGTATATCATTTTAATTTTAGTTCCAGAGGCTTTTATGTAAATTAATTGCATTGGAGAATTGGCAAGAACATTTATTCAATTTACAACAGCCATGATTATAAGCTTTACATTAATATAACAACAATTTAACACTGGCTGATAGATGGGACACAACCATGTAATTATCAAAAGTGAGCCACTTTCTTGATCTCTAATTAGTTCTATAAGCAAATACAGTTCTGCTGGAACTAATTGCTATATTATAACTGGCAGAGAGGTGAGTGCGGAACTTGAGTTCAGGTACTGAGCGTGGAGTGTTGCACAGCCAAAGATCTTCCTATTTTCTGATTTAATCAGATGTATAATTCAATTATTTGTGCAGAGCAAAAGTGGGCACTTGTGCACATAGGAATAACCTTCTTTTTGCTGCAGTGTCCTTTGACTTCTTGAAGGGACAGCAAGCATCCAGCTCAGGGTTGTTTCAGGGAACACAGACACAGTGTATTTGCTGGGTAAGTTATTGCACAACTGCCACTTGTTCATGGCATCTCATATTAGCCTGACAGTTCTTTAGCCACAGAACTCAGTTTGCTCTCAGACGACCATCTTTCTCGTGACTTATTATTTAATGAAGCTAAAAAGGTTGGGAAGGACTTGTTTCAGTTACCATTCATAGAAAGGCAGGAGAATAACCCTGTTCTTAACAGTACTGGATGCAGCTTATGCTCATGGCACATCACCTACATGTGGTCTTTGTCCCAGAGTACCTGGGAACTGACCTTGTGTGCGATTTTGTAAAGTCATTCTTGCTCATTTTTGTCCCTGCACCATCGTATTTTTCAGTTTTTGTTGCCTACACCCTCTTCAGAAATTCTTTCTCTCATTAGAGTAAACTAATTTCCAAGTGCCAGTGCTTTGTTTCAACTGAATCGGAGCGATTGTCCCAATACTAATTGCTTAAGGGCAACTACCACGATCTATCAAGCTCATAGCTGGGGCAGCACTAATGCATTTAGTGGGGAGATTATTGAATTTATTAAGCATTCGGCCTGATGCAGCTTCTAACAAATGCATTTTGTGAATATGACAGTCCTGGCGAGTGAATTACAGACTCGTTACTTGGGCTGCAAGAGCCTCTTGAATAGAAACTATGATTCTTGTCAAAGCCATTAGCTCCTTTACAAAACAAGGGCTGTCATTTCATTAAGTATCTCAGCACATGCCCCAGGCTCCAGCGTACAATCCAGTCCCTTTCTGTCTCCCTCATAATTCCTCATGGAACCTGAGCTTTTTCTGTCCAGAGATTTGCTTCATGTGAGCTGGAGGCTGGTTTTGCAGGAAAGGTGCTTCAAATCTTACCAGGTGTAGAATAAGTTATCAGGTCAGCAAACAGAGCTGGGATAAGCAGCATGATTTTTGTATTCCTTTTCAAGGGAGGAAATAACAGTGATAAGCTGTGATTCTTTTCAGGGTGAGCATCATTGCTGCTGCTGTGTGCATGTAGGAAGAGGCTGCTCTTGTTGATGCCTGACTCCTGGCTTGCACATCAAGAGGGGATGTTCTCTGGTGGAACTGAAAGGAAAGTGTGCGCCCCTTGGTTCTCTGTTGGCCTGTGCAATGTCAGAGTAGAGGGGAACTCAGTTGTTCTTTGTGCTGAGAAAGGAACTGAACAGACCTGGGCTTTTCTCTTTGATGGAGTTTGTGCAGTGGGGATCGTGAAAATTATGAGTACATGAAAAGAATCTAAACAATGCTGATAGGAAAGCTTTGAACATGAAAATAAAGTGGAATTCATAGATCTGATTCCTCTGTAATCCCATCTCCACTTTCACTCAGTGATTCAGAAAAGCAGCACTGAATTCCAACCTTTGCTGTTTCTACTCTCCTTGGTACAAAAGCTTTAATGCCACTCTTTCCAAAGCATGCAGCGTGGCATCCACCCCTAGTGGTGAAGCAACCAGAGAATTCAAAGCTGTGGAGACCAGCAAAGGAACTGATTGTCCTCCCATTGAAGGCAGTGGCAAAACTTCAGCTAGCTTTACCAGCATGCAGCCATGCCCTGAGAAAAGAAACAGATTTCATTTCCCAGCTTCCAAAGGGCTGTTTTATAAACTGCAGAGGAAAAATAACCCACACGAGGAATTACAAATAATGCTTCTCCCTTCTCACCACCCCACCCCCCCCCCCATCCCAGCATCTTCATCCCAGCATCTTTGTCACACGTTTTAGAGGTCGGCAGCACAGTCTTTGTTATTGTCAGCAGGGTGTCAGGCTGCTGCTGCTGCGCTATGGCTTCTCAAAACCACCTATTCCCCTTTCTGGTGTGTTTGTGTTTTTAAAGGAGGGGATGCTGAAGCAGAGCAGTGGATTGAAAGGCAGTTTCGGAGCTCCCTGCAACTGCAGGGTTTGCCTGGTGTTTCTTTTCCTCCCCACTTTCTCTGCTCACACTGCTGAGATCTTCACGGTGCCTGGCCTGGGTGCAGTGGGGGAAGCTCAGGGCCATTGTCTCATCCATCTGCTATGGCTCTTAAAGTCAGGGGTCTGCATGAAGCCTTGCTTCTCTCTTGTGAGCCAGCAGTAAAAGGAGCAGATGCTCTGAAGTGCTCATTGATCTCTCACTGTTAAATGTCACAGAAGGTTTAAGCAGCATCCCTCTTCCTACAGACCCTCTCAGGTGGTCTGGTCTGAGCTTTATGTGGCTGTCAATAGATCTATAGTGTCACCATAGCCACCTCTTAGCTGAGGTGGATACAGTGTCAGAACATTCACAGAAGAACCTGCAGCCCCAGCAGTCTGAAAGACCTACTGAGGGTTATTTAAACAGCCCGTGATTGTACACTGGGTATTTGTAGCTGACCAAAGCAGCTCCATATGTAATTAATCAGGAATTTCCTTCTGTTTCCTCTGTAGCATCAGCTGTAGCATCTGCTCATGGTTTGCAGAGGGTATTTATTTAATTTTGAAATCATACACTGATTTATTCAAAAATAATTGCCACACATTAGAATGGTTGAAAAGCCAAAGATAACACACTGGGATTAGAAGAAAACAAAATGCAGCACTTGAAAAATGTTGCTTATCTTACCTGAATGTTAAAGCATCACCAAGCCTCAGAAGCAGCCTATTTCTGTCCTGTCTGTGATTTTCTTCTAGAAACACAAACTATACTCAGCAGTCTGGGCCAAGAAATGAACAATGAGAGAATAATCATCTGGTTAAGACCATAAGGGAAGAGATACCTTAACTGTAAGAGTGAAATGATTTGGGTTGGAAGGTGGCCAGCAGGTATGGACCACTGCCAGAGGCCAGCTAGAGAACCTGATGGATCAGTCATCTGATTCAGTGTGGCAAACTTCACCGCAGGCTTCCCACGCCGAGGAAATCTATACCATCAGCAGCCATCCTACTCACTTTGTGCTTGACTCCCAGTTACCTAATGGGAATTTTTGCAAAGCAAAGTGAGGGAAAAAAACATCTGATTCTTTGTGTTCCACACAAACAGAAAAAGATGAGCACAATGCAGTCAGAAATTGTCTCAGTGTTGGGATCACTTCCAGTGAAATGAATGGGTGATTTCCAGTGGCAAATACTGACAGGTTTCCTTTCAGTCTGACTTTATCCACAGAAAATTAAGATCAGCCTGAAAATGAGAGTGTGTTAGTATGGGGAAGGTGGGTGTCTCAAGTTCATTATTGTAAGTAGGTAGTTTTTCCCAATTAGAACACCAATGAATGAATTAATCCAATAACAAAGGTTTCACGAGGAGCTACTGTAGATACCTAGCTTAGAAAAAAGCAAGTGCTCTATAACATCTGTAAATCTTGGAGCTGGCTTCCTTTCTGTGGTGCTGCAGCTCCTGGAAATAGCTAACCTATGGTCTGGATGAAGGAAATGTGGAAATATCAAATCCAGAATAGCTCAGAAAACAAACAAGAATCAAGACTTGAGGCAAGTATGTGTTTATCTTGAAGCAAAGAGTAATGTCTGATCAATCTCTTAGATTTATTTTCAGCCAATTTTGATGTAAAACACCTACTGGGTTGTTTTTTGCGTACACTTGTGATAATGCACTGTTCTCCTGGGGAAGTGGAAATGAAATACATGGGCCTCATCAAATCCAGCTTCGGTGAGAAATACCATGTTTGTGACAAGCTGTCCAGTAAAATCCAG